TGAGTTAATTTGGGGCATAGCAAAAGGTTACTATAACAGACATATTGGTAGAGATGGTAACAGTGAAAAAGACTGTTTGGATATGTGGAACGAGGCTCTACAAACGGTTACCCCAGACATGTGGAAAAATAGTGTTCGACATACTGAGCAAGAAATTTTTAAATGGTATGAAAGAGAACGAATTTTTGATCGACCAGACATCGAACCTTTAATAATCAACTTTGAGAGTGATGAAGATTCAGATTCAGAAAGCGCTGAAGAAAGAAACTCCGACTAACCTTATTGTATAGAAAAAGCTTACACCAGTAGCTTACCTAATTTTAGAATGCATTTTTCTGTATGAATTCTGTAAAATAAATACCATGCATAAAATTTGGAGGACCCCATTTGGATTTTTATTCAGTACCTTTAAGCTATCAATTAAATATGGTAGTTTCATAGTGTCATCTGATCAATAATTGTCATACTTAATGATTATGCAAGTACAGATCTATAATTTTATTATACTATTATTTTTGTTCTCATTTGAGGTTAATATTGCTTATAAACCTAGATATGTAAATAATAAATTTTATTATTTTACAAAAAGTTTGGCAACAATGTAAATTTTTCAGCACACCCACCTTGATGACGTGCACGCCACTTTGTTTGGCGTTGACTATAATACTCTGGCATGGGGACTGTCAGAAGGCACATTGAGAACATTTACACATAAAAAGAGTCTTGAGGCTCATATGCATTGATTATGACTTTTGTCAAGAAGCGTTTAAAAACAATAATCATTTCACTGTAACATCAATATATGACGCAATGACATTCTCTTGAGTAGATATAATTTACCTAATTTAGTCAAACGTATGAATTTGTTAGCTGCTAAATTTTTATGTATTTTGTTGAATGGAACAATTGATTGCCCTTTACGTCTAGACAGGATCTCTCTACGCGTTCCCGATTTGCGTATTCATCATGGTGGTAACATTTCATTTTATTTACCGTGGACAAATGTATTGTTATTTTCGCCTTTTTATGTTATGTGTAATGTCTGTGACAGTGTAAGTGAACTTGATATTTTTAATTCCACCAAAATCGATCTCAAGAGATGTTTTTTAAGAATTGGATAATTTATATTTGTCTTTTTTTATCATGTACTTTGTAGAGCTTTGTTTTTGTATTCATTTTTTGTTTTTCCCTGCCTGTTAATTGGATCACTCCGTTCAGGCAGTGTATGGATTATTATTAATAAATAAAAATAAATATTCTCTTAAGGGTGGATTTCACCAGGATTGTCAAATCAACAGTCCGTTTTTCTCCATCTATACGGTAGCAGTCCGTCAAATACAGCGAATGAGCTTCTTCAAGTTCCAGTCAACAAATTTTAGCAACCAATAGCTATGAAATGTTGAAAACAAAATATTGGCAAAGTATGAGATGACAGCCTGTCATTGAAACATCACCAGCTTATTGAATACTAACAAGTTACATATAATTCAGTCAAAATTTAAAAAAGGGTTTGATTTTAGAATAATATCCATGTTTTCTTTAATATTGTCGATTGTTTATTCATGTTTATATTATTTTTATCAATTGATATGCGATTTTACAGATTTAACATCACCTACCATGTGTTTTTCCTATTCTTGCAGATAGCCATTAAGCACCTACTTGATAACAAGCTCTACCAAAAATTTCATACATCTTGCTCGTTTCCAAACATTCATTCATTTACTCGCCGTTCATCAGTACCACCTTAAATTGATATTCCCATACATCCGTAAAGTCGAATATTTTTCGTTGTTGAGGAACTGAACAAACATCCACACTATATTCTCAGTGATTAAGAAATACCCAAATATATGTCGTAAAGCTACCGGCAAACCTAAAACCTGCAAAAAAACTAGAATTTGCAATAACTTTCTCATTTCACTGAGTACATATTCTAGGTTACATTTACATTAGTCATTATTTGAATAACAGCTGATTGTTATATTTCAAAACTCTCCAATAAGTGACACATGTGTGGGATCCGTCATCGCTTGGACCCAGTGGAGTAAGCTCCGCCAACTGTTGAAATATACCCTACTATGCTTTATAAGACTATACGTTGAATTTTTCCCAAAACTGTTGCACAACACTTGAAAAAATGCAAATGAAAATTTAAATTATTTCCATGACGCCCCAAATAGCTCCGTCGGTACCTCGGGTTATACGTCTTGACAGTATTGATGTTCAATACGATCCTATAATTAGAAGTATCGATACTTTTGTTTCCCATACCCGATATTTTGAATCGATATTTTTATATACGACGCTTGGGTGTATCGATACATTTCACGAGTATCGTCATCTTTCGATCCCGACTGTGTCAGAAAGAGCTATTAACTTCAGATTACTTTTCTTCTTTGTTTACTTCCGCTGGATATCGATAATTTTATTCCCATATTTTAGAGTATCGATATCTCCTAAAACGATAAGAATTGATACATATCGATACTTTTCATAGATTGAAACATCCCTAATCTTAACAGCTTGTCGTTCTTATCAACTGGGCTGCGGGGTGCGTTATTGCCTTGACTATTTCACATTTTGCTAAAATCGTATGAAAAATAGAAACTTCAAATGAAATATTGACGAATATGAATGGATATGCATAGAATCTGAAATATAAATTCATATTGCAGGTTTCAGATTATCTATGCATGGACTCGAACCGGATTTTTTGGTATTATTATCGAAATGAGAATATTTACCGAAAACGTAATCTTCCACGATTTTTTAAAATAATCCAAATATTTCCATACTTGCCGGAAAAGAACTGAAATCAAAAATAAAGCTAAAAGTTAATTTTATGTAGTCTTCGTAGTTTTATGCCCCATATCAGTCATACATATGCATACACATTCAGGCAATCGGGCACATGTAAGGCGTAGATTTGGGTTGCCTATGATTACGAACGCACATCCTCATCCCTTACTCCGCTTGCCCTGAATTGATTTTTGTGCATACAAAAGGTACAGACTGGTAGATTACCGTCATCACCGAACAAGCAATAAAGAAACCGAAACTTGTCTATTTTCAAAATAAATATTTAATTAAAACGTGAGGTGAGATCATGAGTTCAGGGGTAAAACAGAAAAATATTCACAATCCTGTTAGCAAGAATCGTGAAAAGAGATTCCAGAATGGAAGAGCACAAATTGTAATAGAGAACTATGCCCTCAAAAACATGTTGTGTGCGCACCCAATGCAATAATAAACGTTTTTAATAGACGGCGCTGCGTGACTCGAAGGTCCTTGATCCACCACTGATCTTGGGACGGCATTTTCCTTATACTGATTTCAACGACACTATTTACCGATACAGTTTTTTGCCGGTTCGGCAACACTGCACATCACTTCAGAAGCAATTGATATCCCAGAAGTTTTGTAATAATAAAAATAACAATATAATTTTTTTTCTAGGGCTTTCGATCGCGTACCACATAGAAGGCTTGTGTTTAAGTAGGAATGTATGGGAATAAGAGGCGAGTTGTTACTGTGGATTAAGGCTTTTCTCACCGGGAGGACTTTCTCTGTGCGCGTCAGTGATAGCCAGTCTCACCTTCATCATGTAGCAAATGGAGTTCCTCAAGGCTCTGTCTTGGGGCCAGTGCTGTTCCTTCTGTATACAAGTGACCTGCCCGCATTCATTTCCTCCACATGTTCAGCTTATGCCGACGACACCAAGATTTACAATACTGTCGTAAATACTGCTATGCTTCAACGAGATCTTGATATTGTTTGTCAATGGTCAGTCAGTTGGCTTTTACCCTTAAATCTAACTAAGTGTTGTGTCCTTCACCTCCGGAAGACAAATCCGCGATTTACATACAAGATCTCTGACCACAACATCGAAGCAGTTTCCAGCCACACTGATCTGGGCGTTGTAGTCAACGATCGTCTTTCCTGGTCAGAGCATATTCACCACGTTACATCAAAAGCCAAGAAACTTCTATACATGCTGGAGAGGTCTTACAAAGGATCCGATGTCAATACTTGCGCCTACATTTACAAGGCATTCGTGAGGCCAATTCTTGAATTCGCTGGCCCGGTATGGGACACTGTGCTTCTGCGCGATAGAAATCTCGTCGAATCAGTACAGCGTCGGGCTACTCGTATCCCTTTTGGAGCACGAAGACCAAGCTATGAAGATCGCCTTGAATTATTAAACCTGACCTCATTCTCTGAGCGAAGACTTCGTGGCGATCTTATACGTATAGTTACGTTCAGGATACTTCATGGTTTGATGGGCACCAACCTCATGCATCTATACCGTCTGTCGCGCAGCAATCTACTCGGACACAGCTTCAAACTGCATAAGGAGCCATTTAAAACAACAGTCCGACAGTGGTTTCTTCCCAACCGCATATTCAACACCTGGAATAGTTTACCTAAAAGTGTGGTTGGTGCTACTTCAGTTAATAGCTTCAAAGTGCAGTATGATAGCTGGAGGAGTGTACAAACTTTATAGCTATGAACTGTCTTTTTTTATTTTTTTCTATTTGATGTATTTGTGTTACGTGTCCGTACACTATATTTACTGCATGAGCTTATAGTACTGTCTACTCTGCTCATCTCAATTATCATAATAATAATAATAATAATAATAATAATAATAAACGTTTTTAATAGACGGCGTTGTGTGACTCCTTGATCTACCACTGATCTTGGGACGGCATTTTCCTTATACTGATTTCAACGACAATATTTACCGATACAGTTTTTTTGCCGGTTCGGCAACACTGCAGATCACTTCAGAAGCAATTGATATCCCAGAAGTTTTATAATAATAAAAATAACAATTTTATTTTTTGGGAGATATATTTTCCTAAATAGGTATTTTTTATTCTGACTTATAATATCTAGTCGATGAATAATATTTGGATGCGGATACATTTTTTTTATACTCCAACTACCACGAAGGCCTAAGGCCTAAACACCCATTGGGTACCGTGGGGCTATAGGGGAAAGGGGGAACGCCACACGGACTCTGGCGAGGGAACACGTGTACATGCAACATGCACACATTCTGGCTCCGCCTACGAGATCCGCCGGGTGGTACCCCTGCGTTCGACAGTCAGCGACCGTCTACCACCTACGGACAAACACAACATCCATAGAAAAGAAAAAAAATTCTCTTGGGAGGGGATTCGAACCCGCATGTGTCACGATGACATATCATTTTTGACTGTTGACAAATATTTAATTAAATTCCGTGCTACCAGCACAAGACTCATGGCTCCAGTGCTAAACTCGATAAGCTGAGGCTTCCGTTCTGGCACATAAAATTTAATTAATCCTGAAAGCAGAATGGCCACTGCAAATGTTTTATCACAGCCACTCTCAGGGTGTTTAGATCTTATTATTATTCTCGGAAACAACTGAATTGACGTATCTACTATTTCATGTGCATAGATTAATTTGACATCGAACCATATAGAAATGAATTATATCGGTGGCACATACAAATGCATACTTGTATTAAAGGCTAGTTCAGAATAAACTGGTGACTTGGAAATGAATGAGTCGTCTCAGCAAACTGTAATCTTTCAATTCAAAGGCGCCCGCATGCAGAGGAGTTGAGCGCCCCTACCTTAACATTTTGTTGGTCCTGAAAAATTGGCATATACTATTATATCATGATGTCGTGTACAATACTAGAGATTTTTATGATTTGCTGCCCGGGTGCGCAAAAATGTACCTGCTAGTAATGGTCGCTCTCATGGGAAAAGTTCCTGCGAGAACCCATGCTCATTTATCTAATTTATCTGATTTAAGAAAAAAATACAAACTTAATGAAAAGGAAATATTTATTACTATCAACATATTCGTAAATTCGGCGGGTTTTATTTCTTAAATATCATTCCGTAGAAATGTTTGCCATCCCTTCGGGCTCACTCTTCTACGCGCGCGCAAATTCTGAAACACTCTCTTGCAGAGTTCTGGAGTGATGTTCTTTATTTCTCGTCGAAAGCTGTCTTTAAACTCCTCCAGTGTTCATGGATTATTGGAATACACTTTTGACTTTAGATAACCCCACAAAAAAATAATCGCATGGCTTGAGGTAGGGTGACCTGGAAGGCCAGTGAATGTCTTCAAACTTCGATAGAACTTTTTGAGGAAAAAGTGCTTTCACCGTGTCCATCGATTCTGTGGAAGTATGGGTAGTAGTCCCATCTTGTTGAGATCATGTGTTTCTGTTAAATCGACGTTCTATTCTTACAACAGGAGCAAAAAAGTGTCAATCATGTCCTTGTATCGCTCGGAATTGACTGTCAATGCTTGACCGTTTTCATCTTCAAAGAAATACGGCCCAATAATACCGCTAGAGGATATGGCGCACTCAAACAGTCACCTTTGGACTATTATATAGCTGTTGTTGATGTTTCTCTTTTGGGTTCGTTGGTGCCCACTTCAATATCCGTTCAGCACAAGATTTCCGTAACACGTAATCACTTTCCTTTAAAGCATGGACTGATTGGAAAACTCATTTTTTTCTTCATTATGCCATGCAGTGTTGATCTAGGAACTCCCAAATCAGCGGAATGCTTCCGTACAGAACGCCGAGGATTTGCAATAATCGAGTCACTTACTCTACTACTACTTCGGTTGAAACAGTAGGTGTGGGGCCAGGAATGCGTTGACTAAGGGTAGAGCTTGTTCCACGGAACCTCTTAACCCACTTTTTCGATAGGTTCTTACTTGGGGCATCTCTTGGTCAGCGAATGTTGTATCGTGTACAATACTTCCGAAGAGCAGCTGCGTATTAATCGCCACTCTTAAAGTAAACCTCTATAGCAAAAGCAAGTAGCGCTTCGGTCCAACGTTCGATTGTAACTATTTATCCCGCACACCGAACGCGTCGATCAAGACCGCTCCCCACTTCCTCGCGTATACGGTTGCCACGGTATTCAAATTTGAAGTGTGAACTTTTTCACTGGTTTTAACCCGGCGTTGGTACGGTGGGGTACAATATACCCCAACGCACTTTACCTCGTCATAACAGATCATAAATGGCCAGCAGCTTCGCGAGATTTCGTGTATCTTCGGATAAGACCTTAATAATCACGGAAACATGAAGCGCTCAGTGGATGACTGACCGTCGCCCGTGCTATATGCTTCACTTTGCGATTGTGCATGTGATACCCCACCGTACCGATACCGCTACATAAGAATTTTCAATCATACCCCACCGTACACTTTTATTTTTAGTGGCTCCATTCATTTTCCAAGGTGAGTTTTTTTGTAATTTTATTTAATTTGAATTACCTCAGGTATATTTTTAGTATGTCGCACTGGGAAAAAGAGCAAGAGAGGTTATTGAAGCTATGGGAAGAAGTAGGAGCAGAAGACTCTGAAAATGAGCAGCTAGAACAAGAAGCAGCATCTGGATCGGAAGCAGAAGAAAATAATAGTGAAAGGTCTACAAATTCTGATACAGAGCAAGAAATAGATGAGGAAGATATACTTCACCTGTCCGAGGCTACAACGTGCACATCAAATGATATATACATGGGAAAAGATGGAGTTACAAAATGGAGCAAAACTTGTGGAAATTTAGCTGTGAAGACAAGAGCCGGAGTAAAAACAGATTTCAAAAACATCAAAGAGCCCTTGCAGATTTGGAAATGTTTTTTTAAGGAACACATGCTCTCTGATATTGTAAAATATACCAATGACAAGCTAAATGAAAAAGCAAAAAACCATAGTCGCCCTGATACTCAACATCTCACAAAACATACAACATTGGAAGAACTTCAAGCATTTTTGGGACTTCTATATGTAGCTGGTGTTTTAAAGTCGGCAAGACAAAATTTGGACGACCTATGGTCTACTGATGGTTTGGGAGTTGATATCTTCAGGTCAACAATGTGTAAAAAAAGATTTAGTTTGTTGCTACATTGTTTACGGTTTGACAGAAGTGCAACAAGACCAGAAAGGCGCCAGCTGGATAAGCTTGCACCCATCAGAGCAATTTTTGACAGGTTTGTGGAAAACTCTCTCGCTGTATATACTCCCAGTGAATACGTTACAGTTGACGAAAAGCTTGAAGCATTTAGAGGCAGGTGTTCTTTTCGCCAGTTTATCCCAAACAAACCGGCAAAATATGGAATCAAGATCTTTGCATTGGTAGATGCCCGAACATTCTACGTCTTGAATCAAGAAGTTTATGTTGGCAAGCAGCCATCTGGTCCATTTGAACAAAGTAACAAACCAGAGGATATAGTTTTACGCCTTTGTAAGCCGATTAAAAAGTCTGGACGCAATATAACTTACGACAATTGGTTTGCAAGCTATTCGCTTATGACAAGACTATTGCAAGAATATAAGCTGACTTCGGTCTGTACTCTACGGAAAAATAAAAAAGAAATTCCTGTGCAGTTTGTACAGACTAAACATAAAGCGGAAAAATCATCTATATATGTTCCCAAAAAAGGAAAAAATGTTCTGCTTCTTTCGAGCCTACACCATTCAGACATGATAGACGAAAGCACAGGAGATGACAAAAAGCCAGAAATTATAACGTTCTACAATTTGACAAAAGGTGGTGTCGACGTTGCAGATGAACTTTCAAGTAACTATAATGTTTCACGTAATAGTAGAAGGTGGCCCTTGACCATATTTTTTTCGTTATTGAATACAGCATCAATCAACGCTTTTGTGGTATACCTTTCCAATGTTGAAACTCCTATCAAACGTCGCGAATTTATCTAAGAATTGGCACTAAAAATGATTATGCCTTATATGAGAAATCGACAAAACAATCCCAGAATATCTTTGTGTCTGAAAAGGAAAATGAACGAAATTACAGGTGCTTCCACTTCTGCAAATATCGTTGATTGTGAGCATCCTGGCATAAAACAAAGAAAGTCAAAACGATGTTATACATGTGATCGTTCTAAAGACAGGAAATCTTTCTACTGTTGTGCACTCTGCAAAGATGTATGCTTAGAACATTCCATGATAACATGCGAATTATGTTTTGAACAAAACAAAAATAATACATGATATTGTGTTAGTATAGTGTAACTTTTTCATTTCTTAGAATATAATAGCAATGTATGTATTTTAACATTGTCAAACTTTGACCTATTCCAATAAATGTTTGAATATTCATCGAAACACCAAAAAACGTAGTTTTGATGCGATGGTCTCTTACATTCTCCTTTACACATATAAATTTGATAAAAAACAGAAATGGAATAACCTACAACACCTAAATTGCACCCTTGATGGATTTCTCTTTCAATGAATGCTCATACCCCACCGTACCACTAATGTTTGTAAACGCCACCGTACCAACGCCGGGTTTTAAATGGATAAAATTTTTCCTTTACGACCTTAATTATGTAGGCAATTTTACTGTGATTTACTATGCAGTTATGATGTTTTTGTTTGTAGGTTTGTAATCCTGCCAGACATTACTTAGTTTAGACAAAACATGGGGCATTGAACAGCGTTTCATATAATTATACATTCATCGCCTGCATGCCTGTTAAGTTGGCAGAGGGCAGATTCACTAATCCCATGTGAGAAAGATTAAGTAAAAATAAGACCAACTCAACTTGCATTATAAGTATGTAATATTCATTATTGCCAGATACTTCCCACCGACGCCAGCCATAATGTCCGCCAGACACGACGTTTTAAATAAGATATCCAGACATAACTCCAACTTTTTTGTATGAGTGTTAAAAAAATAAAATTGTTCATGCAACGTCTTCTTGTATACAGGGTGTCAGCGCTATCTAATAAAGTACCCTGTTTCAAAAGATACGACTCTATTCGTTAGGACGTTTCTGAAAGATCCTGTACACGAAAAGCCTATGGTCTAAAATTAAAGAAAGCAATGGAGTGCGAGGAATGTGGTCAGCTTCTTTGTATCGTGATCGCTCACAGTGGCGAGATGATTTCGCTTTCGAGATGATTTAAACGTAGAGCTTATTTCAACACTTTGCAAGACTTGCCATTGTTACACCGAAATAGTTAGCGCAATGCCCTTATTATAAGAAAAATGCATGGCGTCAACTAGGTTAACGCTGCACTTCCCACGCAACGCCGTAATCGGTTCGTAAATGATTAAGTTCAGAATAATATAAATCCTCGGAGATAAAAGTCAGTTACGGACATGCACAACAGAGGAATTAAGTATTAAGGTATTAAATTAGTCAAACAGGCTCATACACTTAGTCCATAGACATTGTTTCCCTACCATCCATGTGGAAAAGTTGCCCCTTTCTACATCTGCGCGGCATTGCTGCAGGGAGTTATCCTTCGTTCCGTACAAAGTCCGTGTAATTGTTTTTTGCGCTTCAGTCATAGATATGTAAGCCGGACCGGTTCGCTACGCAGTGACCTTAGATAGGTACGCAAATCGAAAACATTTCTCCTTCATTGTATTTTAAAGGCAAATGTACGGGTAAATCTATGATGTGTCAAACATGGCTAATAGGTGCATAGAATATTAACCGGGATTGAGAGTGTATAAATATGTATATTAATAATAATTAACGTCTTTTTTATTTGTAATATTACTACAGGAGGCGAGATTTAGATAATATATCTATTCTACCATCTATCAATATACTGAGATAAGAAAAATCTTATACCCCCCCCCCACTCCCTCGTCACGCCAATAGGCGTGGGAAGTAAGAATGGATTAATTTCTTAGTAATGCAGCTCCCAGTTATCCCATGAATTACCACTGGAGGTTGCTGCTTATCAAATCCCATCCCTCCCTTCCACCCTTCTTTCAGTTTCAACAAAGTGATTCAATATAAATAACCAAAATAAAAAGCATTTAACTGAAAGACGTATAAAAATAAAATAAATAGATACAAAAGTTGAAAACAACAATAAAATAAATAATAGTAAAATATAACTTAAATAGGTATGAATATGAACAAATAAATAAAAAAAACAAAAGCATTTAATGCACAAATACTATGAACTATGTACTATGATGCATGGTTACTCAAACAGGAACTGTCACTGTCAGTGCCGTCGCTATCACTGTCATCACCGGGGTAACTATTATAGGTTCGATTGTACTCTCTATGGAATGATTCCGATTTTGCTTCCGCTGGGCGGCGCTTGACTGGTTTGGGATCAAAGCCGTCAAACGAGGATGGGAAATAGACAGATTTGATTTAAAGGTAACCTTTTTTTCACGTCTAGACATCTATTAATGTGAATAGATGATCAGCAATTGACATATTTGTCTGTTCATCATTACCCCGCCTTGCCAGAACCTTTCCTTTCTTTTAGTACGGGCCTTGTGCAATTCCGGCACGTGTCGTCAGTTACACTGGTAATTGCCTCTTCCAAAAGAGCCCATATCATTTCGATTGAGTTAAATTCGCAATGGTGCGGAGGCAGTCTCAAAACCATTAACCTCTTTTCTTTTGCTATCTCATCAAGTTTTTGAACCGGACTTTGAGCTAAAACTTGATTTGCGTCCACTCGTACGTCGGCTGTGGTTCGAAGCATCAAGACAATTACGGAATCGGTTTATTTAGGCAACATGGACTTGAACCAATCCTTAAAAACTTTTGGGTTCAGATCCTCATGATAGTCCCCAGTTTTTTGCGATTCGAATTCGCTTAATCCCCCCTCGACAAAGCCTCAATCGTTAGAACGTTCGAAAACAATACTTAACCAATCACGGTACGTCGGTCTACGATATGTGACGCTCACATCATACCAAAATTTAGAAACCGTTCAACCATGTCTCAGTTACTGCTTTCTCATTATACGAAAACTACATATTACTTTCAAATATTCTCTATTCCACTTTATCATTCAGACTCTTTCGATTAGCGCTGATATTTATTTCGCGTAAAATCCTACCAGAATGTTACGTGATATTTTTGGAAGACTATAGTCAGTATCTAAAAGGCGCCTATAAATACATGAACATTCAAGTACGCGCGTACATATACGTTTTATTCGAATTGCGTTTGTTAATAAACATGGGGACCGTGAGTAATCATGATTTAAACCTATTAGCAGTGGCGTGTGTGCATAATTGTGAAAAGACAAAACCGATTATTGAATAAACGTACGCCACGAAGTAAATGGGTAAAGAAACGGTTGCTGCAGCGTGATCGATTATCACATATAAATCTACTGGAAGAACTTCGTTTAGAACCGGATGATTATCGAAATTATCACCGTATGGATGAAGATTTCTTTTAAATTTAGTAATACCACTAATCCAGAAACAAGACACGTGCAAGAGGTCTGCCATATCACTACATGAAAGATTATCTGTTACCCTTCGATGCCTAGCCACTGGCAGGAATTATGAACATTTGAAACTTTCCAGTGTCATCTCACCTGACTTGCTAAGTAAAATAATTCCGGAGACCTGCAATACTATTTATCAAGTACTAACGGATGAGAATATAAAGGTATATCATCCTGTCCATCCTCTGACATTTTGGGCTTTGCAACTTTTTTTGCTTCTCTGCGAAATCCTAAACGTAGACTATTTATTTTCTTTTTTGCCGTTTCCTTTGTAGTCGTTTTTTCTACTTCTTTCCACTTTTCTACCAGTATATTATACGCATCGTTTTTTT